GACTGTTGCTTCACGCTTAGTAAACATGATGTAGGTTTTGAGGAAGGCCGATGAGAGTTCTCTGAAGCTGCTGATGGAGTTCTCCTTGAGCCCTGAGAACCAGGTCAGAGCTTGGTCGTGGAGGGTTTCTACGAACAGCTGACAGTAGGCGGCGTCTCTTTCGTCGTCGGGTAGCCGCGCTCGGGCCATCGCGATGTTGAAAGCAGTCATATGCTCCATAGGGTCACCGCCGGGTTTGTACTGTGGGACGCGCAGCTTCTCAATCTTGTGGAAGTTTACGCTAGTCAACGTACTGGTGAATGGAGTACGCTCGGTTGAAGCGAGAACACTCTCGATCTGTGGAGCGGCGCTAGTAACCTTGTGAATCGTGGAGCTCATCTGTTGGAGGTTCAGTTTGAGCTCGGCGATTTCACGGACAGTCGTCAGATCTGGGCCGACTTGAGCTGCTTCTGCAGTGTGCGGCTCGGTTGGTTCCGACTCTTCGGAGGTATGGTCGGCTACCGGCGCCGTCGGGTTAGTGTTGAAGAGATGACGTCGGAACGGTTGAGAGTTACTCGTCTGCCCGGCTGGAGCTGCTGTTAACGCTGCTACGAGTGCGGCGAGTTGAGCTTGAGTCTCCTTTTGTATTTCGTCTTGTCTGGCGAAACGCGCCATGACGAAGCTCATGAAGTCGGGCGGAAGGGGTGTTTCGGGTACGGGAGTCTGAGTCGGCTCCTCGTTGGCGGTTCCGGAGACGGTTCCGTCGTCAGGCATGTCTAGATCTGATAAACGTTGCTTTGTTCAGAGCCCCACGGTGGGCGCCAAATTGTTTGAGGTGAAAATGGTTTGAACAATATAAAGAGAGAGATGAGGGCGAACAAAGACGTTTTATTAGATCTGAACAAGGAGTTACAAAGAGAAGAGTAAAGAGGCGGACTTGCCGGAAATACAAGATGGTGAGTAAACGGGAAGGTGACTAAACGGGAAGGTGAGTAAACGAGAAGGTGAGTAAACGAGAAGGTGACTAAACGGGAAGGTGAGTAAACCCTAGATCTAACCACCTAGTCGCTAAGAAACCCTAAATCTAGTCGCCAAGTGAGTATGTCGAATTCTCCCCCTTCTCTTGTTGCTTCCTCTTATCCCTTTTATAGACCCTGTCCTCGTGTTCGCCCTAGTTCACTTGAGCCTTATTGGGCTTGATTCTCGTCGGGCCCGTTTAGTAGCCCGGGTAAATCCTGCTTCCACCGAGTCTTCTAGAACGCTCTTTGTCGCGCTACTATACACGTCCTCGTGCTGAGGCGTTTCCTACGCGTTTAGTGGGCCGAGTAGATTGTCACATCGGGCTAAGCTTCTCCATTTGATGGGCCTTGTGGAGGGGTATATAACCCATCTCCTACACATGACTTAACTTCTATCATACTTCTAGTGTAGTACAATAGGTACTTCTAACAAACTCAATGTCATATTTCTTTTTGGTAAAATGCTAAATTAACTCAAAGTCATATTGCTTTAAATCAAGTAAGAAAACATAACGCTATGCGTGCAAACGAGCTTATCTTAACTTTTGAAATTGACTTTATCCGAACATTTTTTTTCCCCGGACGGCTGGGACTTTCTATCCATGTGTGACTAAATTGGTCGTACAGGTTTTTTTTATAAAAGGTTTAAATTATGCTTTTGTTGTTTTGCTTTTCTAGAAGCAAATCATTAAAAAAAAGTTATTGATACTATGGGCCAACCATGATGGATAATGCTCTTTATTTTACTTTAAAAATCCAATTCACAAAAAGTATACGTATAGCATTTTTACACATTAATATGTTTTCAAATATATATATATATATATATATATATATATATATATCCTTCTATTTAACCAACTACTAATTGAGTATACTAAAAGTGGTATCAGGCTGACCTCTTCGGTTAGTTAGTATCACAATAGCTATTCGTGCAAGCAACTCAACCTCGTCCCGACTTTTTGCATCTTTAATTTTCCCTAAAGCAAGTCTCAGGAGTCAGGAGCACCGCTTTGGTTCTTGCTCACTGGCAACATGAGTGGTCTGTCCTCCACAGGGTCATGGAAACTTCCACTCGGTAATGTAAAATGATTTGCACGACTTTGTGAAGACTCATATCTTTTTAGGAATTGATCAAGCTTCTGGCGACAAGTTTCCAGCACAGTCTCCTTCATTAATAGTGCGTTCTTCATAAGCCGCTAATGTGGATAACAATAGGACATGCAACCTGGATTAGCAATGCTATAAAATTAACTTTGGTCAAGGCCGTCATCAGTGATTCACAAAATAAGTATTGAATTGTTCACTGTTTTTCCTTTATGTTTAATATGTCTTCACATTCGTTTTGTATTCTGCATGTAACTTCTTTGATCAACAATAAATCTTGTCCGTGTTAAAATAAAATTAAGTATACTAAATTCCAATTTTGTTTACTTTGGAAGGCTAAAATTACGGGTTTTTTGAAACTTAAAAACTATGTATTCTTTTATTTGACTCATATTTTTAACATAGTATGATGTCATTGTTCGTATTTATAAGACTTCCAAAATTATTAGTATTATATATCAGCCTTTCTTTTTTTAGTATTGTCTGTAATATTGCATGTTTTTACTATATTAATGTACTACAATGTCCTTTTTCTTTGTATAACTAGAGTGGGGAAAAGTGGATGACCCATTCTGATGTATAAATGACGTACGGATTACGTAGCAATCGATCATTTATATCCACCGTATGTGATTGATTATAGAAGCTTCTGGACGTACGGACGACAAAAGTTTACTATCGAAGTCCAATAGTCTATCTTTTGGCGACAAATTTTAAAATAGGACCATATGGATGATGCACATCACAAAGTCAATCCGACTTATATCTTGATACGATTAAATTAGCCGACACTATTTTCGTGAAGATTTTTTAATCTTATACGGAATACATTTCCTTCAGAAACGAATATCAACATCACAAATTCAAATTTGAATTATATCTTGATATGATTAAATTAGGCGGTACTATTTGCTTGATTTTCGTTTTACTAATGATTTGCTTGATCTTTTCCATCTTATGTAGAATATATCTCCTTCAAAAACGAACAACAACATCACAATTCAAATCCTGACTTGTATAATATGAAATATATATCTATAGTAACTACCTATAAAACTCAGTAGAAAATTAGATACTGAATTTAGGACAGAATTAAATTAGGTTAACTCTATGAACCTCCAAATTTGACCACAATCTTTTGTATGCTTATGATCAAGTGGTACATATAAACACAACACGAATTCGTGCGAGAAAAACACGCTTTGTTGTCTATTATGAACATAGATACACACACACACACACACGAAAACAAATGGGAGCATGTAAAACAAGGTTCACCTTTTTGCTATGGGCCAGAAATTCATATACGCAACCGCCCACATTTATTTTACAATTACTGGTAGACTTTTTTCTGATTCTTTGTTTTGAAGTCAATAGATTAATATTGCAGTTTTTTTTCTCCCAACTTATAATTTGAACCTCTTACAAAAATGATGTCTTTGGGTTTTATACCCTACAACCTTTAGTGAAAACTTAAACGATGCAAAAAGAATTAGCATTGAGCATAAGAATTAGGTTATAAATTACAATGTTTTATTTGTTCGGTTTTTAATATTTTGCAGAGAACTAATAAAAGACTTAGTGTGGATCTTCATCATATTATAAAGCTATATTGTTAAATATTTCTCTAACCACTACGTTTTAGATTAATTATGTATATTTTACACAACACCATATAACTTTGCCTTATAAAGTAAGTGATCAAAAAAATCATTAGACCTAAACGGAACCGCCAAAAAATAATCGTCTAATATACAGCAATAAATAGTTGACAGAGAGACAACAGACATGCATATACCTTTAGGAGGTCCATTGAAACACATGACAAAGAGGAAAATATCACGTCAAAATCAAAGCATATATGCGATCACAAAGTGTTGTGTCCAATCCAGGAGTCAAAAATTAACAGCTCATCCAAAAATCATCGTTCAACACATAACAAGCGGGACCAACATATCTATTATTGAGTTCCACGTGTTCCTGTCTTAATTGGTGCTTCATACATACGCGTGTAAAGCGATACGAAAACCTAAGCCGTGATTTCAATTATATGGAGGCTTTTTTTTTTCTTTTTCTTTTCTTTTTTCCCCTTTAATTACAGGCCAATTCATCGACACGTGTCGTCAGTCCACTAGGTACATTTGAAATCCCTTAATGACTCCATTAACTTCTGCACGTATAGTTTTTTTTTTTTTTTGTAAGAACTTCTGCACGTATAGTTGCTTCAATAGTTCTATTTATGTTTAGTAAATATCATCACTCTAGAGTTTTTTCAGGCTTGTCTTGCGTCTTGTAGTCTTTTCAATTACTCGTAGCCTCGCAATTGTAGGAATGACATACCGATGTAATATGATTTCACTTAAAATATTACTTATGATTTTGCTGGGATGCATGTGGTTGATCTTTTTATTTTGGAGAAAATGTGGTTGATGTTGTGACATAAAAATGAACTCAGTATAAAATGTACAGGTTATATGGTAAATCATTTGGACCTAGTTTGTTTGGCTCATACGTTCCCATTAATACCTTTTGGGGCATGACACAAGTCAATAGTGTAATTATTAAAATATTTATTTCATGTCTATATCAGGAAATTTTAGCACCTCATATCAGTTATACATATCATTGAGTGAAATATTATATTGAGAGGAGACTATACATATGTAGAAGCAAAGCCGGCCAAATATGAATATTTAAATATAAAATGGATATCAATAATATGGAAACTCCATTATTAAAAATGTATCAATATAAATTCTAAAACATAAGTAAGAAAATTACAAGAAAACAAATAGTATTTTACATGTAAACAAATTTAAATGAACAAAACAAGTCTTCAAACTACAACAAGTAAAAAAAATGATACAATAATGAATTTTATTTTGTTTCTTGATATTATAAGATAAAACCATTAACGTCCAAGAAATCGGGAAAGTCAAACTTCATGAGATTACTGCAATAGCTTTCCATTTCATCCTCAGTGCTGCAACTGCTACTGTTGACGTGAGTCGTGGAACCGGAGTTTAACGTAGTTGGGCTCGAGGATGGTGTGTTCAGGACCGAATTAGCGAAGTTGAAACTCTGTTCTGAATAAGAAGGATCTAGTAAAAAATTAGAGCGTGCATAATCATTGAACGATGGAATATTGCAATCTTGGACCGACGTATTCGAGGTTGAAACCAGAGTATGTTCTCCGAAACCAATGAACTGCTGGTCCATGTCGTTGAACTGAGCTTCATTAGGGAAGGGCGGCAAGCAAGACTGGAGTTCTTGATGGTCGGTTTTGTATTGATTGGTTTGGTTAACGTCATGATGAAACACCGTGTGGTTCTCATGGGTTCTCGAGTCAGGATGATCTAACACTAAGTTTTGGTTCTGAGAGAAGAGAGAGGTAGCGAGCTTGAGTATCTCGGGGTTAACCGATGGATATTGTTGCTGCTGCCGATGAGCATCCATCATGAGTCTCGACATGTTGACATGATGTGAAGAGGAGTTGTATAGAGATGATGCTAAGATGGATGAGATGTCGAGGAGATCTAGTCGCGGACTATGAGTCACTGGATCGATCCCCATTCGAAGTAGCTTCTTTCTTATATGTGTGTTCCAGAAATTTTTGATCTCGTTATCGGTTCTTCCGGGCAAACGCGCCGCAATGGCAGACCATCTATAAAAATAATAATAAAAAGACACATAAGAATCTTGAACTGGTTCAAAGTAAATATTGTCGGAGAAAATGAAGTTAAACTCACTTGTTTCCTAAGAAGCTATGAAGCTGAATAATTGTTTCTTCTTCTTCAAAGGAGAATCTTCCTCGCTTTATATCTGGTCGGAGATAATTAGTCCACCTTAATCGGCAACTCTTGCCACATCTCTGCAAACCTGGTAATTATAAGAGATGAAACCAAATTATTAAAAATGTAAAAAAAAAAAAATAATATTAACAACATGATTTAATATGAAAACTAAGAGACATACCAGCACTTTTGGGAAGTGTTCTCCAGTTACCATATCCATGTTTCTGGATATACTCAATGAGCTTCTGGTCTTCCTCTGAAGTCCATGGCCCTTTCTTGAGTCCGTTCTTTTCACAACAAGGTGATCGTCCCATTTTAATGCTGTGATGATTAACAATTAAATTAATCACAAGAAGTTGGTCAAACTGCTTTTATCAATTATGAGCTAATCTGAAAGTTTAAAGGAAATTATGAGAAAGAGAGAAACAAAGGTCGTATGGTACGTAAAGGAAAGTACGAAGTATATATAGGCATTGAAGAAGAGGGGAAGTCAAAAGGGTTCGGTGCCGTCCTCTATTTCTAAGTTATGATACGTGTCCCTTCATTTTTATTATTAAAAATCGAATAACTGTTGCGTTTATACTCTATGGTATCTGTTTATTACATGGACTTTTTGAGTTTGAGTTTTTTTTTTCAGCTTGAGTTTGAATTTTTTTGGTCAAATGAGTTTGAGTTTGAGTTTCTTTTTATGCTCATGTTAATTGCACAATTGAACAGAACGTTTATTCTTATAGTTTTATAACGAAATCTTATTTGGAAACTAAACGTATAGATGCAAAGCACATACTTTAAAAAAAGATGCAATGCACATGAATAACTTTTTTAAAAGATAAATGGCGGTGTTTCATTTTACAATTACACTTAATTAATTATCTCAAATGATCTTTGATTTAACGTACTTATAAGAAATTGTAAATAAACATTTTATTTTGGTAAAGCGCTATTTACAAACTCAAACTTAAAGAACACCGACCATATTACAAAAAGGACTATGAAAGATTATTCTTGAAAACAAACATTGTCATTTTTTCCTCGTGAGTATTGTTGAACTTACTAAAAGTTTGCTGGAACTATGATCTACGGTTTATTAAAAATGTAATTAAGTTTAGGCCTGGGCATAATACCCGAAACCCGAACCCGTACCCGAACCCGACCCGAAAAAAACGTATCGGTTCGGTTTAATAAAATTGAGAAAATCCGATCGGTATTGAATTTCTGATACTTCGGACATTAGGTTCGGTTCGGTTTAGTCCGATAATCCGATTGGTATTGATTTTATGATACATTGGACTATGGGTTCGGTACGGTTCGGTATAACCCAAAATAACCGAAATACATTGATTATGTGTGTTTAGGGAGATTCGTGTATAGGGAACACGCGTGTTACTGTTTACGATTTCCAAAATCAAAACGGCTAAGGAGAAAGTGGCGATAGAGGAAGCGATTCCTCTTCTTCCTACTCTCTAGATCTCTAATTCTCTATTTTAATTTTCTATTTAATCGATTCCATGATGTTTAGTCTCGACCTCACACTCTCTCCACCATCTGCGATTTCGAAGAATCAATCACAGGTTAATCAAAATCTTTCTTCTCTCTCTGTTATGAGTCACGGTTTAGAGTCTCTGTTTTGCGTTTGAGTTGTGATGATCTGAGATAGAAACTCTTTTATGAAACTTGTTACTCTTACTTTGTATTTTGAGATTGTGATTGATTAGGAATGTAACTTGTTGCTCTTTTTTTTTGCGTTTTCAGATGGGTTCATCTTCAACCCCAAACGTTGACAACATCAATGATTTGTTTGATGAAGAACCAGAGTTTCCTACTCCGGACAGTAGAGGCAAAAATAAGCAGCTTGTGAGTCCAGACAGTAGAGGCAAACGTAAAGAATCACCTGAAGCTAGCGGAGCAACATTTCAGACACAAAAAGCGCCGAGGTATCTTCCTACAAGGTCTAAGATTTGGGGCCATTTCACAAGAACGAAGGAGAATCGTGACAAATGTATATGTCACTACTGCAACAAGACCTTTTGCTGTGCTACAAGATCAGGCACATCCAACTTGATGAAGCATCTTAGCATATGCAAACGCTTCATGTTGTTTTCGGAGGGTCAAAGCTCTACTCAGCCTGGCGTCAATGAAGAAGGACAGCTGAAGTCTAGAAAGATAAGTGATGCTACTTTCAGGGAAGCAACAAATGAGATGATGGTGATAGCAGAGCTACCACTGTCTTTCATTGAAGGTGATGGTTGGAAACACTTCTGTAACAAGGTCAGTTATATATTAATTAGATGATTCGTTAGTTAAGTTTGGTATCTAATGTTTCGTTTTTATAATTGCAGATGGAACTAGGGAAACCAGTATCAAGAAGGACATCAACAAGAGACATTGTCAAGATGTATCTACAGAGGAAAGCTGCTATGAAACAATGGTTTAAAGCAAATAAGCAAAGGGTTTCATTAACTACTGACATATGGGTGGCTCAAGTAACTCGTAAGCAACTACTTGCTAACTTAGCTTTCGTGTTTACTGGTTTATTTTTTTTTTATAAGAAAATAGTTAGACTAGTTAGTTTCCATAGCTTTTGTGTTTACTTTGATCCATAAGCAAATATTTTCATAATTTTATTTGATTTGTTTGATTTGATCTCAGGTGCAAGCTACATGGTTGTGACTGCTCATTACATTGATCCATGTTGGCGATTGAAGAAGCTTATCATTGCATTCAAGCACGTCACTGATCACAAAGGATCGACAATTTCGAAGGTATTGTTAGATTGATTTGCTGACTGGGGTATTGAGAAGGTTTTTTGTGTGACAGTGGACAATGCGACAGCCAATACATCTGCATTGCGAAGGTTTCACGCTGAGTTCTCTTTGGTGTCTAACGAAGCCTTGGTTCTAAAGGGTGAAATGATGCATTTAAGATGTAGTGCACATATCATCAACCTCATCGTGAAGGATGGAATGGCTGAAGCAGATGAGAGTGTCAATGCTGTCCGTAATGCTGTGGTCTATGTTAGAGCTTCTGGAAACAGGATATCATCATTTGAGCAGAGGGTAGATGCTGGTAAAGTGACTAGGGGAAGTTTGCCATTGGATGTGACTACTAGATGGAACTCCACCTATCTGATGTTAATCACTGCCATGAAGTTCAAGGTTGCTTTTGAGAAAATGGAGCAAGAGGATAAGTTGTACAACGATTACTTTCTGGAGATGGAAAAAGGTGTAAAGAGGATAGGTCCTCCTCAGTTCACAGATTGGAAAGCTATTGAAAGGTTAAGCCGGTTCTTAGTCATCTTCTACAACTCAACTCTGATTGTTTCTGCCTCGACCTCTCTCAATGCTTACAAGTGCTATGGGGAAATCGTAACCATAGCTACTAACCTGATGGATTTGACACATAGCAGAGATAATTATCTTCAGGTAAAGGCAGAGGAGATGTATCAGAAATTCGACAAGTACTGGGATGGGATGAAGAATATCAATAAGATATTGATTGTGGCAACTTTTTTTGATCCCACGAAGAAGATGGATCTTGCATCCATGTGTTTTGAAGAGCTTTATGGGCATGACAGTTTTGAAGGTAAAGAAATGTATGATTCTGTGGTTAGTGTCTTGCGCAGTTTGTTCAAAGAGTACAGTGATAGATATGGGAAGAGTCAAGAAGAGCAATCTGATCACTCTAAAAAATCAAAGGTTCAAGCCTCTCGGTGTGTGGAAGAAGATGGTTTGGTTGAAGATGGTTTCGGGTATAAGAGGATTGATCGAAGGTATAAGCAGAAGTTGAATGAAGGAGTGAAAGACAAGCGTGATGAGCTTGATATTTATTTGAAAGAAGAAGTTGAGAATCCCGAGTTACTGGTTGGTGTAGAGTATGATGTTCTATCATATTGGAAGAGAAACCGTTCGAAGTTCCCGATTCTTTCACTGATGGCAAAAGATGTTTTGGCCATACAAGTCTCCTCTGTTGCATCTGAGAGTGCTTTCAGCACAGGTGGAAGGATCATTGAGCCATCTCGGAGCTGTCTTACTCACTTCATGGTGGAGGTGTTGATGTGTACCGAACAATGGCTAAAACAAGACATTCGATGTCATTCAAAGGTGCTTACTAATGCACAAATCCTTGAAGATATTGCATAGCAAGAAGAGATTGAGAGAGGTATGTTTATTTTCTTTTTAGTTTGTTTGGTGAATTTGTTTCTTTATATAATATTTTTCTTATTTGTTTTTTCTCTTTGCATCAGAATTAACTGGTTCAGTTGCTCAGCCATAAGTGTAAGGTAAAATATCTTGTCTTTGTTTTATGTTCTAGTTAAGAAGAAACATGATGGTGATAGTCTTAGAAATCGAATAAGTTCTTGTATGTGCTTTATGTTCTAGTTAGGAAGGAACATAATAACTTAGTCTTAAGAAAACTGTTGTCATTGTGTTTGTCAAGAGTAGAAGGTTTCTAAGAAGCCTCACTTGGTCGTGGACTCGTGGACGTGATCCTAAGAAGCTTTACTCTTTGTTTTGTTTTCAAACTTTGGTGTTTTTATTTCATTGAAACTTGTTGGAATGTTGTTTTCGGATGTTGTTTTTTCCATGCTCTAAGGAATGTTGTTTTTGGATGTTGTTTTTTTCATTTGGATTTAAGTTAAGGAATGTTGTTTTTGGATTTATTAAGCTATGGAATATTGTTTTCTGTTTTAATGAAATTTAACTCTCAGTTTAAGGATGATGTTTTATAATTTTTCTTACAAAAATTTGTATTTCACTTCGGTATATCCCGAACCGAACCGAAAAAATCCGAACCCGTTTGATATTTGATTACTTTACGGGTTTTACAATGCAATACAATATTTAACCAAATCCGAAGTGATATTACCCGAAACCGACCCTTTTAAATAAATATTAGAATGGGACCTTTTAGCCTAAACCCAAAAACCCGAAAATCCGAATAACCCGACCCGAACCCGAACCGATAACCCGAACGCCCAGGCCTAATTAAGTTTCTTATTAAGCTTTCTTGTTGTATTATAGTACTTTGATAACGAAGCTGTAACGTTGAAAACTGCAGCTTTGTTAGTCCTATTTCATCATGCTCGTGAAATATATATGAGTCAAACAACCTAATATCGTTTTCCCAATTAAATCAAGAGTAACCTCATCAAGAAAAAAAACCTTTATTCTCATCAATTTCTCAGCAATAATCAGCGATAATCTTTATAATAGTTACAACATCAAGGAAATAATGAAAATCTATCAAAATGATATCTTGTTCTAGCATATTAATTTAGATGTACCCATGGTTAACGTAAACATCACATGTATAA